AAAAAAAAAAAAAAAAAGAAGAAGATGCAGATGAAAAGAACAAGGGACAATGGAAATTATACAATAAATAATATTCACCATGCATAAAAGAAAAATGCTTAAAAATCAGCAAAATTTTTCACAAAAATACACAGATTATTTACATCTGCAGGTTCAAAACCTCCTAATTATGCAGTTACAAAATTCTCAATCTTTGAAATGACCATTCACCATTTACTATTTACAAAAATAATGAAACGAAATTCCCCAAGAAGTCCCTGAACATTCGAGCATTCGCATCTGCAGTAAACCATGAAAGCTCGATTAATTTAGTCTATTTTGTACGATAGTTCGTAATCGCTAGATTTAAACGACATTCTCAAGATTTTCTTACCTTCTAACTCATTTTCTTGATGCCTAAGTCGTCGAAAACTTGAAATAGCAACTATCTTAGGCCTAAACAGAAATAAACTTAAATAATTAACCATCAACAAAGAGGAATTACTTACAAAAGTTACAACAAACAGAGAATATGAACACATCTCAATTACCAAAATGCTGATCAATATACCACAAAATCAACGTCTTGTTCGCCTCTACTTCATCTGCAATATCAAGCCAATGTTGTACACAAAACACGTGAGTTTGTGTTGAAAGCAATATAAATATAATACGTCGGTTTTATTTAAACCAAATGGAATTTTAAATAATCACCTTAATCATCCGAGCCATCATAATTTCGAACACGTAAATCCAAAAACCGATCAGTGATTAAATGTGAATTCTCCTCAGACGTAATTCGGTTGACAATGTTCGTATGCATAATGAGGCAGCAGCTCCTCGACCTCGATCCTCGAGCTTGAATAGCTCGTGCCTTTCTTGATCCGATTACGATTAAGAGACTCAACATCAGCCAAAAATATGCTATGAACGGGCCTATGGTCTGAAAATCTCGATTCTCCACGAACATACGATAGTTGATGAAGGCCTCGACCATACCATAATATACGATCACACCTTACATTATCCAAAGACACACATAATAAGAGAGATGCATCGGTTTTCGCTAATTTGGATTTATTTATTTATTATTATTTTATATATGAATACCATGCAGGAGTTCTTCTCTTCTCTTTCGGGTGCAAGTTTTCTCCGGCATATCTGTCTGAATTATTCGAATATTTGTACGTAGGAGGAAAATATATTCTCCCTTCATTCCACCCGGTAAAGGCCCTTCCATGTCTCTGTTCTACACAAAGCTGTAATACATAAAGAGAGAAAAATAAATAGATAATAAAATAAATTTATGTATTTGGTCTAGCAAAACTATAATTATTATGGTATTAGGAATTTGGAGCTGATTAATTTGCTTTATAACCTGGTCATTTTCCAATAAAGCTCGCCAGTTACGCATCTCGACTAGAGCTTTTGCACATCGGTAAGAGAGGGCAATCCGGTAATTCAAGTCCCCGAGCCATATGATTCGACTGTAAAGATAATAACATATTTAAGATTCAATTTTTATTACACAGTTCTCAAATTATAGCCCACAGAAGGAACAGAAGAGAAATGAAGGATTTAATCAGGTTCTTATGAATACTAAATAAAACACTAAAATCGACACACTTGTAGGTAAGATAGAAAAAACTCACTCATGCTCGAGTATCGTTTGTGGAGAATTCTCATCCCCCATGCCGTGAACACGTGGAAACCTCGTTTTTCGCAAAATCTGCATGACGTCCGAGTTCCTCCTTAGCTCATCTCCATCCTTCTCACCCGATGTTAAATGACTACAAATGAAGCAGAAGCTAGTTTGGTGCAAAGACATGCTAATCGAAATCGAGCCCTGCAAAAAAAGAAAAAAAAAAAAAAAAAAGGCAATTCGGATTTCACTTAATTATTCCAAAGAAGGTAAAATAAAAAATAAAAACTCATACCTTATTTCCAAGATAGCCCATCAAACCTCTCCCAACACACGACACCTTCAAATTCCCCACGGCATCTCGTAAATCGCTCTTTACCCACACCGTAAGAAAAATTCCCACCATTTGCTTGCTAGCAACTAAGCAATATCTCAATTTTCTATCTCCATCTTCCATGGACGCATTATTATTCTTATTATTACACGTGACGGGCGAGTTATAATAATGCGCAAATGGCGAGTAGTCTCCTGGCCCGATTTCGTCATCAGATGACTCATAATAGCAATCACTCGGTCTGTGGCCGTATATCACTCGATCACAGACACTAAACCGGCGGTCGAGCCTCGGCTGAGGGGTAGAAACGTCATTTTCCATCATCATCATCCTCATGCTGCGGCTCAAAGACTGGAAAGATCGACGGTGGAAAAAGGACGACGGAGGATTTTCTCTGCTCGATCTTTCGAAATCGTCATCAAGCTCAACAATCGGGTTAGGGGCTGGGGACGGGGTGCGGTAATTTTCACTATTACCGGGCAAGCTGTTTAGAGTTTTACGGATGAGGGATAGCCATTTTCGAGCCGGGCCATTGTCTTCTGTGCCAAGGACATTGCCGGCATTAAGAGGGACTATTTCTTGAAACCTTGAAATGTGATAAAAGTTGAACTTTTTGTCAATAATCAATGCGACGGAAAAAAAAAGTCCAAATGGGAGAAAGTTCGACATTTTTATAGAGCTCACCCGAGGACATAGATGTCGGCTGGAGGCGAAGTGTGGAGCCATTCTTCGAGATTTAAATAATTAGGGGGAGATTTTCCAGCCACATTCCATGTTGATACAAAGATTCTACTTGAATTAAGAAAGAAAAAAATACTTGATTATGTAAAAGAAAAAGGGAACAAAAAGAAAAGCTTGATCTATGAACTTATCATCAAAGGCTAAAAAGGAGCATATATACCTATAGTCTTGCACATCAGCAATCCGGGAGGCTTCAAGATCGATCTTACTTCGTCGGGCACGGTCCGAAATTCGTCTACACGGTTTCTCTGTAATTTTCCAAACACAAAACTGATTATTGGAGAAAGTAGGAAGGGTGAAAATTTTACTTTTTCTTTGCTCTTTTAGTTGAGATTAATGGCAAGTTAGTTAACATTTGTGGTCCAAAAGGAGACCAAGTTGTTTGAACAAGGACCTGTCTTGCTTTTCTTGATAGTGATAACTTGCTTCTCTGTAAAATTGCTCCATTTTTCATCAACACCTGAAAAACCAAAACACTTAAAAAGCCCCCTTTTTTTTCTTTGCTTTAAGCTGTGATTGTAAACTGTTGTGGCACATGACCCACATTACCATAAAACACATAAAAAGATGAGTTCTGAAAAAAGTGAAGATCTCAGAAGGTTGAAAATAGCAGAAATTTCAAATGTTAAGCACACAAACACTGGTATAAATTAGATTTCACCAAATTTCTGGTAAAAATTCAAAGAACCCTTTTCAGTAAAGAATCCCAAAAATCAGATTTCACCAATTGCTGGTAAAAAAAAAAAAAATTACCTTGGTAGATGATGTCATCAGCATGATAATCCTCACTTTTGCCCTTGATGTTGAGCCATTTCTTGACAAGTGCTTTGGGCCATGAAAACTTGAACAAAAAACATGAAAAATCAGCAAGTCTTTTGAAAACCACAATAATGCAGATGAGCAGTAAAAACCCATTAAAGCCCATTAAAGCACAATTATTTTGAAGTACAAAATAAAACAAACCTTGCTTTTCTTTGAGTTTTCATCTCTCATTGTTTCACCACTTCATACATGAACCACTGTCTCAAATCAAGACAAAGATCAAAACTTAACTTCTATTTACCCATCCTAAGGGAAAAAACATAGTCAGGTAAAAAAAAAAAGTAAAGAAAAACAGAACAAAAAAAAGGGCTTCTTGTGCTTCTGTTGTTTGGCAATTTTACAGTCTGCGGCAGACAGAAAAAAAAAAATAAAATCAAGAACAGTATGAGATAAAATCAAGATTCTGAATGTAGGAAAACAGGACAATGCAGAGCAATAATAAAGATGAATTAAGAAAGAGAGAATGTGTTAGAGAGAGAAAGATGAAGCTTGGTTCTTTATGGTTATGGAGTTGAGGGCCTTTGAGTGTGTGTTTGTGTGTGTTTCCCTTCTCAAAAAAAACCTCGTTTTGAGCACAGAGAGCAAAGTATCGAATTTTGAAGAGAACAAAGTTCAGAGGTGGAAAAAAAAGTTAAAGAGAGCTGTAAAAAGAAAATAAAACGTTTAAGAAAATAGAATTAAAATAAAAAATATTATACATATAGTTAAAAATTGGGCCTGGCCCAAGTCTAGGGTGGACATGGCATGACAATGTTCATTTCTTGCCTACTTTTAATCAAAAAATTATACATAACTGTTATTCGAATTAAGTTAGTATGCAAACATGTTTTGGCTCGACTTGTGAAAGTTTGAGCTTGGTTAATTCCGAACGTGCCGCATCACCCAAGAGCCCAAAATCTTATTTTTACTCCTACAACAAAAAATCCAAATACCATAAACCTCTTTTATAATAGGTCCGACATATTTTTCACTTAGTATATTTAATATCATACTTTTATATATTAAATAATAATTTATTATAACCCTATATTTATTCACTTTTAATAGGACTCACATGAGGTTTGATTGAGGTTTGATTTTATTTTACAAACATGTACTAAAAACCTCAAACCACATGTCTTTAATGGAAAACATGTGAAGTTTGAATATTTAAACCTTCCAAAACCTCCTACTAAAGTTGCTCTAAATCGGGGCGTAGCCTCATTAAGACTAGTGTGGGCTAGACCCACAGTGGTAAAGGAAAAAAAAAAAAAGTCCATTGTATTAACCCATATTGCAAAAGAATACTAATTATGAGTCCGATAAATAAAGCTAAGATAAAATAGTTATTTACACTATGTTATGAAAACTAAATAAATTTTTCACACTGCTTGATTATAAGTTAAATTTTTCACCCCATAAAGTGCGACTGCATTACGCGGCAATTGTGCGAAAATTAAAAATGCGAAGACATTCGCATAACTCTTCGCAATTTCTATGGTGAATATACAACTGATATGCGATAGTTATTCGAACAATGTGAATAACCTTCACATTATTTGGGGTGAAAAATTATATTGTTAGTGAGCATGGGGAAAAACTTAATGTATCTTTAGGTCAGAGTTAAAATAAATTGTCTGTAAAGCTAATTATAATAAAACATTTAACAAAATAATCTAATAAACAAAAAAACTGTACAAAGACTCACGCGAACTAGATACATCGAATCAACTTTAATTATTTTATTTTAAATATTATTTAATATAAAATCAAAATCCCACTAACATCTAACTATACAACCTTTTTTTTTTAAATTAACTTTGCTTAACCAAAAAAAATCATTTTGAGCGAATATTTTTGTATACAAACACACTCTTAGAGAGTTTGTTAATTTTCGATCCACCTGTTTGAAAAAAAAAACTTGCATGATAACAAAATCCCTTTCTATATATTTTGATGGATATAAATTAAAATTGTTATTTTTTTTTTTTTATTTTAGGTACTGGTATATATATTATCTTTATGTAGAACTTGCAAATTCAAGCCCTCTTTAGTGTTTAAAGTTCTTTAAAGTGTGATATGTCAACTATAGAATTTCATTGGTTGTATATTTACAATATTATTTTTAAATATCAAATATAGAGAGATATTTTCAAGAAAAGAAAAAAAAACTCTGTCAACAAAGTAGATGGTGAATTGTCACAATAGCATATACTTTGAATCAAATAGAATAATTTGAGGGAAATTTTGGTATCACTGGGCAGAAAAAAAGTACGATCGTAAATTTAATGATGATCGAGAAAATAAAACCTTCTTGAAAATTGATAATGATGTTATTATATAGCGATGTCAGACCATGAAAACTCGTAAAAAACTACTAAGAAAATATATTTTTGTATTTATATTTTTCATTATAAGATGTTATATTTTTCATTAGCCCCCGCTCATTATATTTTCTAGATCCACCCCTGCTCTAAATACAGTGCAAATTAGATCAATTAAACACACATGGTGGTGATGTAATAGTGCAAATCGAGCTCAATTAGACACATGCATAATTGGGATGTAATATAGTTCAAATCAAACCAATTAGACACACATACATAGTTTGTCTTTGGTCAATAGCAAATTTCCACATTATTGGAAAATTTGCCTTGTAAGATCTAAAATTTTGGGTTTTGAGTAATCTCCAAAAGCTTTTGCTTTATTGGTTTTTTTTATAACATGCAAGTTTTCTGCATTTGAGTATCCATTATTATTAACCCAAGGTAGATTTTTTGGGTTTATAAATTTCAAGTAATGCACATTGATATGAGTCTTAGTTCTACCACTTTGTGCATCTAAATATGAGAACAACATGTCTTTATGTAAAGCAATTGGGAGGTTCTTTTTGTGTTAAACCATATTAATGTCCTAATGTCTAATGAACCTTGACATGAAAATGTGCAACTTGTATTGAAAAACATATATTAATTTTGTTGAAGATAGATGCACGATGGTGAACCTTCTTGATGGCGGCATATGGCGAAAGACATATAATTTTTTGTTCCAAATTTTTTATGGGTTTTGTTAGATTCAAATTTGAGCAACTTTTTTTTTACGCGTGAAAGATTTTATTTTATTTTATTTTATTTTCAATTTATACACACAAATAATTAAATAAATAAATTTATGCAATTTAACATGTTAATTTGTTAATGACTAAAGTAATCTCATTGGTTTGAGCTCTGCAGACTTTGAAATTTAATTGACTAATCATAAAATCCACATGCTACACGTGGGAGACTGCGTTTTGGTCTCAAACCAAAGTCACTTTTCACATTTTCAAAGTTTTTTTTTTTTTTTAACATTTTCACATTATTATTATTATAATGTTAATGTGCATTAACATAATAGTAGCTATCATAATGTTGAATAATTGATATAGTAAATAGTATAATTGTATATTATTATCAAATTTTAAACAACTGAAAGAATTTTGCATAATGATCAAATTCACTTAATAAGTTAAAATTCATTTTAAATCTATATTTATATGCATAGTTTATCAAATCTTTTTTATGGCCTCACATGTTGTCAAAATTCCAAATAATTAATTTAATTAACTATAAGTAATTAGGTGGGTCACTTATGGCAGAAATGTTGGTCACAAGTGTTACATTATGCTATCTGATGAATAATAGCTCGTGATTGGATATTGAAACAAAAAATAATGGCTATAAAGATTTGATATTATAATCAATTATTATTACTAGTACGTATCCCGTGCGATGCACGAGACAAAAATATTAAATGAGCTATTTTTACAGTCTTGTCCGTTTAAATCTAAAAAGTAATAATGTTATTATATATTTTCTACCTCTTTTAATCAACGTTAAGTCTAAAAAATTATTAAGCCGCCCTCTGGCAAATATGTATGAAGTTATGTGTTTGTGTCTCATAAGTCACGAACATTATGAATAACATTACAAATTATTCATTCAAACTTTTATTCATTGCAAATATATTAAAATAGTTTATATAACAGCCATAAATACCACTTTCAATATATTTATAAATAAAAAGTACATAAAATTTCTGGTGTGTTCAAATTTAAATAATTTTTGATGGGCTCAATTTTAAATCATCCAGACATTTGGTCAAACGCATAGGTGTGTTCAAATTTAAATCATTGGCATTTTGGTTGGTTAAAATTTAAATCATCTACCATGGTACTGTGATGTGTATTATATATATATTTAACAAATAATATGTGCTTTATAAAAAAAAAAATAATTTCACAAGATTTTAAACGTAAAATTTGATTTTTAATCACAATAGAAAAATTATGGTAAGTTGTATTGGTGAGATAAAACAATTAACTAAAATAATTAAATAAAATAATTGATGGAAATAGAATGCATTAATTACCTTTGGCTTTTCTTACTACTAATTCTAGTAAATAGAATGTCTTTTTATATAAGTATTGATTATTAGTATTATTTATTTATTTTTTAACTCATTAGTAGATGCATTCAGAATTCTCAACTCCAAGCCAACAGTGTCAAACTAAACGATCTACTCGCGAGCTCTGTTATACTCAACTCGTTAAGACTCGAATTCATCAAACGAGTAAACGAGCTAAACTCGAACTTATTTAATATTCATTTATTAATGAGCTCGTAGACTACAGAGATTTTATGTAATTTTGTTGAATTTTTACTTTTACATAACCGAAAATCTCAAATATTTTTTTGAAATCTAAAAATATACTTGTATGTTGTATGACATTAATTGAATTGATTCAACATAGAAAGCAAATGTAAAAAGGCAAAAAAAAAAAAAATAATAATTGAATAGCAATTCTATAGAAAAAAAAATAAAAAAAAAATAAGCCTGATGTGAAACTTTTCACCAAGAGGGTGTAAAAAAATATCACCAAAATTTTTGGCTTCTGAAGCAAAATTTTATTTAAGATAGGTTTAGTTGAGCTAGGCAGAGATCTTGTCAATCCTTTCTTCGCTATGGGCACCTCACTTCACAGATTTTTTGTAATACTCAAGTTGGCTTGTCATACAATTTTTAACAATAATATATATTTATGGAAAATGCTACAATCTCGTTACGGAACCATTATGTTAGGATTTGTAATCGTTAGATCATCATGTAACCGTCATGGATAGTTGATCTAACAGTTACAAATCCCGACGGAATAGTTCCGTAACGAGACTGTAGAATCTCCCTATATTTATACATAAAACATTATACCCTAAAACAACCAGTTTTATTTTTAAACATTTTTTTACTTTTACACCAATAATCACTTCCTCCCACATAGAAAATCTAGGAATAAAATCTAAAGAAAAACCAAAAAAGTTCAGATGCAATTAGTTGCATGTTTTTTCTCTTACACATTTTAGATAAACCCAGAAAGCTTGAACTCATTCAAGCCACTTGAAGTGAACTGCAAAAGGATGAAAGCCTAAGCCCAACACACACGAAAAGCTTTAGTAAATTTTGAAGTCGAAATGAACGGATCAGCTCGCTGGTACAAATACAACGAGTCGGGTCGAATAAATTCTTTTTTTCTTCAA